ATAATTTTTGGTATAGTAGTTGTGACTTATTCACACTCTATACATTTGGCTTCCGCAACAGAAACCTTACCCTATATTTCTGCAAGAGGCTGTTTCTACGGCTCGAACCCGCAACTCTTGATACTTTACTCCAGGAGCTTCAGAAATTCAGCAAATTCAATTTTTCCATCTGTGTTATCATCAAATGGCACAATCATCCTCTGGCAATCTTCCAATGAAAATTCCAAGAAACCCATCTTGTAAATGACTTTCTTTAGCTCATTTGCATCAATATAGCCATCTCCATTCTCATCAAACATATTAAAAGCTTCTTTAACTTCTTCTAAACTAGGCTCTGTTTCGTCGAACGAACAAAAAACCTCAGCCAATCCTACCTTATCAAAATCATCCCCGTTTGAGTTACAAAAAGTCAATAGTGTATCTAGTACAATCTCAACATCATCTTCATCCAATAGTGCCTTAATATTAGTAGCAACAATTTCAGATCGACAGTTATTTTTCGCCGTTGAAGAAGTTGTTTCAGCATTATCAGACTTCTTACATGGAGTAAAAACGAAAGAAAGAGTGACTCGAATTAAAGAAGAAAAGCAAGAACGAAATTCCTGAAATGTGATTACTAAGACGAGAATCATACAATTTAAGATGGTGGAATTATAATGATCGAGTCCATCAGCTATCTTCTTGGCCTGAGCTGAGAATGAAAAGACGATCTTCTCCATGTAGCCTAATTGTGTTATTTTTCCTTGGAAATTTTTGAATCAGAGTAATGAGATGAATGTAGAATTCAAGTTTCTATATAAAGAGAAAGTTCAATGAGTCCAGTCTTGGTAGAAAGTCTGGAGGAAAGAATGTTGAAAAGTTTATTAAGTTTCCATTAGAAAAAAATGGACTAGTTTTCTTGTATCCTTCTTTGTGGAAGTACATCAAAAGTCGGCATAATTTGTTCCTGGAAATTCACGTTAGTAATAATAGTTACCAACAATCCGTGTCGCCTGACAGGGCAAAGACTACACGTTGCAGGATGCAAGAGAAAAACAGGCGGGTGTTTACACACTGCAAAGTGCAAGTGAGTGTTTTTTTTGTTTCCCCTTCGGTGTCCGGTACCCGCATTTGAGCTCGACTATATCCAAATTCGCGTCGGGTAGGGCCCCATCCGTGATGTAGCGCTCCCTACCAAGAATTTTTTCATACACAGGGCTCGAACTCTGGTTAAGAGAGGAACAGCCTCATAAAGTGCAAGTGAGTAAGAGAATATATATATATATATATATATATATATATATATATATATAGCAGACACAATTTATATCTTTTGTATATTTGTATTATATATACAACATAAATATATTTTATACACTTTTCTCCCTAGCAAATGGAATTAATTTTGACCGGCCACATAATTTTGTATTTTGCCCGTTAAGAAATTCTGGTGTCCAATAATGTAAAAGAATATTTATATTCCTATACACTATATGAAACTATATTATCCTCCCTACTCAAGTTTTACTATAATTATATTTTATATACCTAATTACCATTTATGTATATTTTAAGGGAATTAATGATAATAATTAGTGTGCTGAAATAACTCCAACGTATCTTTCACTCCCCCACGTTTCTCTCTCCACATCTCACCCCCTCCCCCACGTATCTTACACTCACCCACGATTCACCATTGACAACCAATAAAAAGCTTTGAAACTTTGAATTTGAATTTGGGTTTTCAAAAAATATTAGTTGTTTGAATTGGGTGTTGTTGCAAAGATTAGAATTCTCTCTACGT